TTTGTTTTGTTTTTTGCTTAAAGTAAGACTTTTCTAGAAAAAAAATTTACACAACTAATTTTTTGGTCCCACAACATTTTACAAACTCCAAACTCTTAACAAGCTTCACTTAAATATTTTGGCATATATTTGTTCTAGATACGTACATTTTTACTCAGAAAAGACAGCTGGTAAAATATTTTGTCCGTTTCTCCAGACTGAGAGCTGTAGCGTTGTGTTGCTATTGAAAYGAGCTAGTTACGGCTTGTGCTGCTAGCAGCCGGTTAGCTTAGCTTAAAGACGTAAAACGGCGCTGAAGGGCTAGTCAGGCTTTCTAACAGCAAAATACAGTCGTTAATACTCCAAAGTACCCCGAAGTTGGATTAAATTTAAAATAGAACTATGTGCTAAAAACTAAGAATAAAAAAGAGCTATGTTACGCAGGACCGGTGTTGTGTCGAATAAAGCACCCCTACCGTTTGAATCTCACAGGTGCTGAGAAAATTTGGTGCAGCTGTTTACTTTCATTTTGACAAAAATCCAACCAGGAAAAGATCAAGAAGTATTTACGTAGAAAAATTCCAGTGTTTGTTTTAAATTGACAGGMTGCACCCTCAGGAAAAATAAACAAACTTTTAAAAGTGAGTAAATGAACTAAAACCAAATCTCCATCACCTCAGTTTCACTTCCCATCATTGTTTACACTCCAATCAGACCATCAACTGTAAAAATAAAATAGTTTAAATTCAGTTTTTGTAAAATGGCGACCTACATGAGTTCTTGCATCCYGTGACCTACGCTGGTGTTTACATGTGAATGTTATTTATTAGGGCTCTTTTGTTTTCATTTACATCATACGTGTCCTACACTTGTCCAAATGTTTATACAGAAGTTTATCGTATCGGAGAACGCCCACTTTGATTGTACATGAACAGCTATTTATCGGTGTTTTAGCCAATCTTTTTCCAACCCTCCCACAGAAGAGGATGTGTTTTAAGGTCACAGTTCCAGAAGCTGAATCGAGCCCCTCTGATGACGGAGCTTAAAGGCAAAATCTTCCACACAAATACATAAAATAAAATGTGAAAGCTGTAGTTACATGGGTTATTTACATCACAGTGCTGCTTTGTACATTTTCATTTGTATTTTTTTTTTTATTTTACTTTTTGTTTTCTGTATGTTGTGTTGTACAGGCTGTTGCATAACAAATCATATCTTTCTGATTTATAAAAATAAATAAAACAACAGTATGCACAGAGTCAATGTTTCTGTGAACTAAGGTTAGAAAAAAAGACCAAACCTGCTTTTTTTCCCCGTTTCAGATTTTATTTAACATGTTACGACAGAGTTAATCACAACTTGGATTAATAGCTGATTAAGGCCAAATGTGTGGTTTTTCATAGCTTTTTAAACATTTTTTAACAGATCTTGTTGCTTTGAAAGCAGCTTGTTCTTATTCGACAACAAATGCCCATAAAAACGATTTAAGCAACTAAAACTGTACTGAGTTTCAGTAAATAAAAAAAACTGAAAATGCAGAACAAACATGAGCTGTTGAGTTGCATAGTCGACTTGTTACTCGTCTGCAACTTTTTCTGCTCCAGTTTTCACCTTAAAGTTGACCCCTGAGTATTTGTCCTTCTGAACTGAGACTGCCTGGTCCTTTTTCACGTCCTGGTAATAAAAATCATTTTGTTTTTGATGAGTTCATCCTGTCGGTTCACTCTTGTCTGATATTTATAAAAAGACAAATAGKTATGATGGTTGTGTTTGAAATATATTATACTTTTTATTTCAGTGCATCAGGAATGCTGCACAAATAAATCATGAAGAAAAATGCATCAGTTTTTTTAAATTACAGAAAGTGAAGAAAATATAGCAGTATCTGCATTTTTCTTTGCAAACTCAATTATAAACTGAAAAAGTATGTGTTGCAGGTCAACAAACCGTTTGAAAATTAGGGTTACAAGGGTTACCCTTGGATTTGAAATGCATCAAAATGAACATTGTTCTACAGATGTTGAGCTTTACGCACAATTATAAAACACTATTATTTCAAACACAACTATGTACCTTTTAGGAAGTTTTATTTATGAACAGCTGATCTATTCTAAAAAWTTTTTTATTAAATTTACAGAAAATCCAGATTTAGATTAAGTCATGAATGGAAGAAAACCCACAAAAATGGGTTATTCCTGGCTTTAATATCAGAATTCTGCCTTTTAAAAAATTTAGTTCTGAGGAAATTCTCAAGAAAAAAACATTTTTTAGGGGAGGGATTCTGTGGCCTTTATCTTCTCTAGTTACATGAGAGTACAACAGCAAATTATTAAAACAATGAGGTCATCTTACGTCATTTCAACTCAAATATTACAGCACTCAACTTCATTAAAGTAAGTCAGTGACAAATGAACTAACCCTACAAACATATAAAAATTTGGAGAATAAGGATATTAAAAAAGCTTATAAATGTGTCATAAAACAAAAAGTTATAAAACAAGTTTCTATCCATTGATGCAGGTTCAGTTAGGTGTTTCTTCATTTCATCCATAACTAAAGAGTAATTTATTAGAAACTTAGCAGAAATTTAGCATTTATATTTTCCAAAGTGTTTGTCTATCCCTTTTAAACTCTAGGCACAAAGCAGGTTTAGTAAAACTTATTGAAGTTTTTCACAGTTTAGTACCTGAGCACAAGTTAAGTCTCAGAACCAGAAAAAGGGCCTTCAAATGTTCTCGCTACAAATGATCAAAAACATCTTTAGACTGGAGCTATGGCTCTTCATATTGAGCTGAGACGTAAAACTAAAGAGTTGAAAACCTATGAATGAGTTTCGAGAAAAGAGACAAACGGACAAAGAAGATGTAAAAAGTTTGGTTCAGCTTCATTCAAATATACATCTTAACTCCCACACTCTTGCACAAACATACAGTCTTTTATGCCAGAAACCAAAAACAACAAACCAAAAAAAAAAAAGAAATGTCTCACAGTTTTAAAAAAATAGCAGGAATTTTTTTTCTTACACAGAACTGTTGACGTTTTCCTCAAACCCTGACGCACAACATTCACTCTCAAACAAAAAGGTTGCAAGCTACAGTGAGTGCTTTTTTCTTTTTCCTTTTTTATATAAAAACAGATGATCACAGTAGTTCAAAGAAAATGGCTCCTTTTTCAATAAATAAACAAAAAAATTAAAACAACCTTCATTACAGGACCTTCACATCATTTCTGAGTCATTGGAAATTAAGTACATGGTTGATTCCAGCAGCTGTTTTTGCATCTAGCTTGAAAAATAAATAATAAAAAAAAACAATCTATAAAAAAACACAAATAGGCGAAAAAAACCTCCCGTCGACGCACATAAACACACAGCTAACATCTCATCTGGTAGTGACGGACATGGGCTAAACAAAAAAACACCTTAAAAAGGTTATTTTTTGGGTTTGGACTCTCAGACTCCGCCCCTTTTTTGGAGCTCCAAAATTCTTGGTTCACCCCTTTGTATCATGATTCCCTTTCCCTGAAAATATTTAGCTTCAGATGTTTGAGGAGGCTTTCTTCCTATGGCTCTACTACATTGATTCAGCAAACTCGGAGCATCTGAAACGTTTCCTCGTGTATTTGTTGTGACAGAGTTAGATGGGATGGCAAAGTCCGACAAACCAAGAAGTGTTTTTGAAATGTTTCAGTCAGATAGCTGAGAAGAGGCAGAGCAGGACAGCAAAACTAGAACAAGAGCAGCCTATGTCCTCTCTTTGAGGAACAGGGACAAACTACAGTAAGAGAGACAAACAGGATAAAATATAAAAAATAAAAATAAAGGATTTATTCTCCCAGAATTCACTGTGGCTGGTTGCGGGAGGACTGAATGCAAACGGGACACAAAAGAGACAATGAGGAAGAGGAGGAAGGCGAGCAGCAGTTTGAAATTAGTTATGTCTCCCATCGTCTACTTTAGAGGTTTTCTTTTTCTTTTTTTTTTCTTTTCCACACAAGCAGGTTCAGAACTTCTTGGGACCCCAGGCCGAGGTTTGCTTCGGYGCCACTCCGGTCCCAAACGTGGGGAAGTCTTCTGCACTGCTCATATCAGGAGCCTGAAACAAACACAAAAATACTAACTGAGGTAACCGTAAGACAAGCCAATATATCATATATTAGTTAGACAAGATCTTTACAAGTTAAAGTTTATCACATGTGTAATTTATTAGGCTACAAATGACATCACATTAATCATTCATATTTTAGTTTTTCAACCTTTATATTCAAAATGAAGATGATGAACATGTGAAATGGACAGCTGTGGAACGTGTTTTTCTACGGCTTTTGCCTTAAGAAACGAGGCTAAAAGAAAGAACAAATCTGGTCAATCCCACCTTGTTTCCTGCTGCGTTCCACGGGGCGTCCCGCACCACGAAGCCCTTAGCCGGACCCCCGCTGCTGTCGTCCACTCCTCCCGCTCCGCCTCCTCCCCCGTAGCGAGACGGGGGCTTCATGTACGCTGCCAGGGTCTCYGTCTCCGTCACACTGAGCAGCTGGGAAGGGAAGAGGGAGGAAAAAAATTTGCTCTTTAAAAAATAAAAGCAGAATATCTTTGAACTCTAATGTTTCAGATGTTTTAAGACTCAGACACTAATTTTGCTATTTTAGCTGTTTAACAACAAATGTGACGTGGCAAAATGAGAGCTAAAATAATTTTTCTTAATTTACAGTAAATCATTGTTTTCCCTCTAAGTTTACTTTCATTTTGAAATGAACCATTTTCACAGTATTTTTAAACATACCTATAAATCAGAGTCTGGCCCATAGGATATTTTATTCCATCTAAGGGTTCATGAACTCATAATGACATCATTTAATAATAAAACCAGAGCCGACGCCTCCTGCTGTGAACTCACGTATTCCTCCTCCAGGTTGAGCAGGTGATCGATGGCGGCGTCGACGGTGTCAGGGAGGCCCGTTACCGTCACTTTGTCAGGCTCGTCTGAGCCTGGCTGAGGGAACCGTATGTCCACCTGAACAAAGAGCAGATCGGAGCGTGTTGATGTTTGATATTAACCAGTGGAAAACCAAACCAGTTTCTAGTGTTTTTCTTTTAATAAACCAGCCCTGGTTTAACACTCAAATGGTTTTGGTTAAAACTAGATACCGCACAGCAGTAACATAATGACCCCTGCTCGCACAAATGCACCAGAACTCAGAAGTCTTTATTCCTRATAAATGYCATGCTACTAGGTGCATCCCAAAATTGTAGTGGTTTGGGTGGGGGCCTTTTATTTATTTATTTATTTTGGGGGGGTGGTGGGGGCAGTGGTTGACCTGATGGATAGCCCCTCATCAGATCTAAACAACCAAAGAAATCTGAAGCTCCTATGTTTAATAGTTTTTGAGCAATAACCATTGTTGTATGTCCAGATACCACTTTTTCAAATAAATTGGAGTTCTGGGGTGGGGGGCACTGACTGGTGGGCCTGATGGATAGAGCTTTATCAGAGCTAAACAACCAAAGAAATCTGAAGCTTCTATGTTGAACAGTTTCTGAGTTATAAACATTTTTGCATGTCCTGACACCCCCTCTTTGAAAGGAGCCCCCTCCTCAAATATGGGGTCTACCATAAAACCGTTGGCTGGCCCAGTGTAGGTCAGACTCATCTACAGTCCTGCCAAATTTCATGTTGATTGGTGCAGCTGTTTTTGTGGTACGGTTCACCAAAAATCACTGAAAAATAAAAAATAAAACCGTACGAAAACATTATGACTCCCGCTTACGCTTGGCGTGCGGGGGTCATAATAAAAATCGTCACGTCTGACCTTGAACTCCTCCATCAGCTTGCGGATGGCTTTGCCGCGGGCGCCGATGATGCGTGCGTGAGTCCTGGGGTCCAGATGAACGTCCTGGCTCACCATCTCCTGCAGCTCGGCCACCAGCTGCTGGATGGACTGACGGGCCTCCTCCACGTTCCGCTCGTACCCGGAGATCACAATCAGGTCCTGAGAGAGGACGCAGACAAGGAATTTAAAAAAAAGGAAAAGAAAAACTAAGAAAGAAATGTTATTTCCCTGAAGCACACACCTGCTGCTCGTCTCCTTTATCGGGGAACTGGATGCTGACGTCGTGCTCCTTCCGGATCTGTGAGATGACGGCCCCTTTACGCCCGATAATCTTAGGATGAAACTTTGGATCTACAGACATGGTGACCTTGAAACTGCGCAGGGCCTGAGAGGAGACAGAGCCACGGAGACGTCACCCCTACTGCACATGGAGCGTGTGTCGAAGTGTGACCTGCCAGGGCATTTTATTTTATTCTTTGTAGCTTCTGAAAGCTTCAAAGCATATTTAACGTCATGTAATCTGCTTTAAATAAACTACATCTCCCATAACACGCTGATTGTTTTACACATGAAATGATGGCATCCTACCACTAGGTGGAGGTGCACAGGGTTTGAAAAATGTGTATAATCTCGAATTCTTTGAACTGTCGCTGCTACCATTTCTGCAGTTGTACTGGGAAATGGGAATTTCACATTTGCATGTCATATGTTTAAACTGGAACACCCCTCCAGTAGGAATTCCCAGWTAGAAAGTGGGAGAATTCAGAACTCAAGATGACAGCTACTCATCACAACTCAACAGTGAGTAAAACTCTTACTTTTACTTTTATTAGTATTTCTGTATGATTTATTTCACATTTAGTCAGTTGTACATGTAGTACTTTTCACTGTTTATAAAAGGAGATATTAAAACACTGTTTCTATGCAGGAAACACCATGTAGAGCTCACAGTTTGTTAGCGGTGCTCCGCTGTAGCAATGAGACGAGGAGCGTAATGTTTTGTGTTGAAAACAAAAAAAAGGCAGATTAAACAACAAGAAGTGAAGATGTTCTGTTCGTACCCGGTCCTCCTGCTCAGCCTGCAGCTCTTTGACCCGCTCCAGGAGACCCTGTTTGGCTCGCTCCACATTGGCTGCCAGACCCGTCACCTTGATCACGTCCAGCTGCTTCTCGGGCTGCGGCACCCAGATGTTCACCTGTGCACCAACGGCCCCACACGTAAACACAAACATCCTCACAGAGATTTTTTAATATATATCGATATGATCCAGTCTGACCTCGTACTCCTCCATCATCTTCCTGATTCCACTGCCCTTCTGGCCGATGATGTAGCGGTGGAGATCGTAAGATGCTTCCACGTCCTCCGTGATGGGCACCAGCGCCTGCAGGAGGAAGAAATGATGAGAAGCTAAAAAAACAGCAAACTCTAAGCATTATTAGAAACGAAGAGTTAATCATGTAGACAATTTAACAGTTAAACATGGTTACAAACATGTTTATAAAGTACTTGAAAAAAATAAGTAAAAGTAAAATTACATGAACAGAAAATGACTTTGCTAAAAAATAAATTTCACTGATGAGAAAACTACTCAAGTAAAAGTCATAAAACTGTTCACAAAAATTGGGAAAGTAAAAGTAAAAGTACTTTTATACACTTTCTAAGAATGTTGAATAAACTGAACCAAACTGGTTCCACTAAGCCAGGTTGAGTAAATTGAGCAATATGTTTATATATTATTTTATTTTGCTCAGTTTACTTAACTAGGCTTAGTGGAGCCAGTTGACATGACTTTGTTGAGTAAATTCAACACTGCAGAAACATCTTCATTCATGATGAGTTCCAACATATTTAATTTTGTAGTAACTAGGTGTTACATTTTAAAGTAAAGAAGTATAAGTATCATTTTTAGCTTTAAAATGTAACAAAATAAATGTAAAAATAGCTGTTTTAAAAAATAATTTGTAAAATTGCAAATTCTCAAAAAACTACTTAAGTAATGTAACAAAGTAAATATACCAAGTTACTATAATCCTCTGCTTACAAATGTGCGAAGCGGACCAAGCTCATATGTTAATGTTATGGAAACACCACTGGAGTAGAACAAATTTGGTAAATTTACTCCGTTATACAGACCTGATGTATTTGCTCTAAAATGATTGGTGTTCAACTTTTCTTTAGGATCATARATGAGATTTTTCATTATTAAAATATTCTGCTTTAGCTTGTGGAAGGTGCATAATTCTAATGGCATTTGGTTGACCTGTGACCCGGAAAAGTTAAGCTCCAAYAGAACTCGTAACTATGAAACAGTCAACAGCTGGGTTTCAGTCATGTGGTCTTTATGAACCACGATTTCAAATGGAGGGCAGTAAAATGTCTACGGAGGAAACMGCTGTGTAGTTCATATTGTACAGATTTAGATCCAGCTTTAATACAAAGATAGCAGCAATTAGTTCACAAATATGTTGGAGATGACCTCATGAGGATGATGAAGTTTTTAACAGAACCTAAAGGTTTTCCAACAATCAAGATTATGGATATTAACTGGTTATTTGGATGTCTCACTACACCAAACAGATGAAAGTCTAGAAAAGTTTGAACAAAAGTTTCCACAGCCCCAGTATCAAACAGCTCCACGATGATGCCAGACTCAGTGTTAGCTCTTCTAWTGTTTCATCTGTTAACATGYTAACAGTAGCGGCTAACATCAACACGTGCGTCTGCATTTCCCGCTCTGCTGAAGCATCGTGACGTCAACTGATCGAAGCACACTCACCAGCAGGGCAGCTTTAGCCAGCTCGCACCTCTCCGCCCGCCCAGAGATGGTGATGATGTCACATCTGCGGGGGACGAACTCCGCCTCTGGACTGGCATCGCCGTTCTCCTGTGGCGAAGCCTCCTGACCTGCGAGTTTTCAGACTTTTAGGATGACTGGGTTTGGTTTTGAGCCTGATCCGTTCCTCCTGCAGCAGCAGGGGCGGCGTTTGGAACACAAGCTGCTGCGTTTCTAACCTGAGGCGCTGTCGTCTCTCTCGGGGAACTTGATCTGGACCTCGTGCTCCCGGGTGAGGTGCTGGATGCGGCAGCCTTTGGGCCCCATGATGGCGCGATGGTAGCGCTGAGGGATGGCCACTTCCACGCTCACCTGGGACTCCTGCACAAACAGTAAAAATAAAATCCCTCTGGGTTACGGCTGGGAACAATAAAACATGTTTGTCTCATCCGACACACGTCGATCCTAAAATCTAGTTTCATCCTGATAAAAACAACCATTTCTTTTAATTTCCTTGAGTGAATTCATCAAACTGTCCTCACCAGGTCCTCGACGATCTCCTGGATGCGTTTCTTAGCTGCCTCCACGCAGTCCTTCGCCCCCTTCAAAGTGACCCTCTGGCTGTTGGAGCCGGTGCGAGGGAAGCTCACGGCCACGCCCCCGTATTCCTCCGCCAGCTCCCGCAGCACCTGACCTCTCCGACACACGAAGTGACGGTGGTGGCGAACGTCCACCTCCATGCTGTCCTCCACGATGTCGTCCTGCAGGAGGACAAGAACCAATCAGAGAGTGGCGTTTTGCGTGAAGGTTATTATGTCTTGCCTGTTGTAATAGAGAAAGCTAACAGCTAATCTGAGTGGGATTAGGACTAAACTGGACCTCATAAACTGATTTTTTAAAGGGATCCATGATTAGTTGTAACATTAGACTTTATTTGATAAACATATTTTAACTGTAAAATAAAGACTTTAAAAATTCTGTAGGATGTTYAGTTTTTATCACTTTTAAACTAAAAGTTTAAAAATATATTACACGGACAGAACCATTTTATTTACACAAAAAGCATTCTGGGTAAATGATGACGTGGATAGGTCATCGGTGCGAGGCTGCTAGCGAGCTATATCCACCCTGAAGGTTAATCTTGAACAATATCTGATGATCGACTCTTTTAAATGAAACCAGAGAGCGTTGACAGAGAGGAGAAGGTAGAAATGACTCAGCCTGTAACTTTAGCATTAGCCCCGATGCTATCACCATATATATGTATTAGCTCAGCGCTACATATTCTCCTCTCGTCACTGAGGTCCTCYATCCACATGACAGAGAGGGGAACACAAAAATGACTCAGCTGCAACTGAAAATATGGATGGAGGACCTCAGTTTAGAAATATACAGTAAATAGTATATTTGTGGAATGAGCTGGTAAAAATATGTCGTATGAAATTTAAACGTCTGATTGATATGTTGTATATTGATATTTCATAATGTTTATTTGCTACTTGCTCTCATAAAGAACCATTTAAATTTTAACCTGTCAGATTTGCCGTTAGCTCAAGGTTCAAACAAGGTCATTCAAAAAGCTATCTACCACAGGTAAGATATTAACTGTTCACAAGCTTTGCAAAGAACCACACGTCAAAATATTTGGACTATATTGTTAAATAAAAGCTACTGAGTTAAATGTTAAGTACTTCAAAAACTAAATGAAGTTTATGAATTAAAAAAAGATAAAAATTTGTGTTAAAAAATAAAAATATTGGAGCAGAAAAACTTAGAAACGGAAACAAAGGCTAAAAAACAATTATGTTAATCATTTCAATGTGAAACAGCTGAAGCAGTTATGATGTAATGAAGACAAAAATGAAATAAACAAATGAATAAACAGTCTGTGGAGGCAGTTACCAGGTTTTTGACCAGACTCTCCAGCTCCCTCTGGGCCTGGCGAACAGCCTCCTCCTTCCCTACGATGGTGATCAGCTCCTGCTCCGTGTCGTCGGGCGACGGGAAGATGATCCGGGCCCCCGTCCGGTCCCGCACGCGCCGGATGTTGGCGCCGCCTCGTCCGATCAAGAACTTGTGGTACTCTGGTTTGGCCTGCAGCTCGGCAGTGAAGTTGTTGACTTGCTGAAAAAGGAAGACGAGAAGATCTAACAAACAAACAAACAACCAAAAAAAAAAAAAAAAAACAGGAACGACTTCCGTCTGTGTCTTTGACCTGCGAGCGTGAAACGAACGCTCTCCTTCTCCCCTGGCGCTCACACCAACCTTTTCCTCCGCCAGCTGCAGCAGCTGTTTCTTGGCCTTCTCCACTTCGCCTGCAGGTCCTCTGATGGTGACTTTGTCGGAGCCGGAGCCCTCGGAGGGGAAGTGGATGTGGACTCCGCCGCAGTCCTCCATGATGGAACGCACCAGGCAGCCCTTGGAGCCGATCAGAGAGTTGTGAAGTCTGGCCGGGATGCTGACCTCCGTCTCCTTTATGTTGGCCTGAGGAGGTGAAGACGGACACAATGAGGAGGAGATCAGGGATGTTTCAGCTTCTGAAAAACTTTTCTTTCTTTTTAATTTGTAAAAATTCAGAAAAATAGTATCATCAATATTTTACCAAGAAYAATACATCCTACAAACTAAGATCTGCATTAAAGACACAGTGTGTAGGATTTGTTGTTTTCAGTGACATCTAGTGGTTGAATCATCCTCCCTGGTCCTCCCCCCCACTCCCCTCCCCCCCACTTCCAAACACAAAGGAGTTGCTATGGTGTCTCTCAGGTGTCAAAAACCTTTGATAGTACATGTACCCCTGGTTGGGAATCAGTGCGGTACCTGATCATTTTCAGGGGAAGATTTTATTTCTTAAGCCACATCACTACTTATTGATCCGTTAGTCATTTAGTCTAGCCTGGTCCTTGCCTTCCTATCAGTTCCACTCAATTCTAATTTCCCTTCACTGCTCCGTCTGGGATTTCTCCCATTAACAAGGATTTCTTCAGGAGCATTTCATTCGGGCCAATCAGAGAACAGAAGGAGTTTTGAATGATGTTGATTTTCTGCTCAGTGTCAGCTAGTTAGTTTAGCATACAGCAGTGGAGGAAGTGAATGAAGCCAGTCTGTGTTGATAAGGCTTCCAAATTAAAATAAATGTGTCTGACAAAGCAGCAGTTCTCATTTACAGTCCTCTCGTTCGGCTCGGTACTTCTCTCCTCTCAGTAGGGTTGTTTACAGCGCACAGGATTTCTGGTTAGCTTCTTAGCTTAGCCTCCGTCACAGCGACATAAGTCACAGCCAACTGATCCAATCATTTTAAACTTCAGCAGAGGCCACGCCTCCAACAAGAATCGTTTCTCTATAGCCGCGAGTCCAGACCCTCATAAGAAGCAAAGTGCAGGACAAGGGTCTGGTTTTTACCAGGCTACATTTAGTCATAAAAAGCCTCCTAAACTAAAAGGGACAAACCAAGGCTGTGCTGCACAAGATCAAAACCTCATGTTTAAAAGAAAACATGGTTGGTTTTAAGCTTGTATGTATAAAATATAAAGAAGATCAAAACTAATTTACTCCTGAAATCCAGTCCAATAAGGACCAATAAGATGGACTCACCAGTTCTCTCTGGATGGCGAGGACTCGGTCTCTGGCAGCCTCACAGTTGCTCTTCTTCCCCGTGATGACGATCATTTCTGAGTTGCTGTTTTCAGTCGGCAGGTCGATCTTAGTGTTCGTCTCCTCGCGGATCTGATGATAGAAAGCTTCGCCGTTATTTTCTGTCCGGTCACCCGACAGGTTCGGCGTCAGGATTCCTTTGCCCGCCACGGTCTCACCTTTTTGATGTTGGCGCCACCTTTCCCGATGATGTTCTTGTGAAACTGCTTGAAGATGGGAACRGAGATGGAGAAGCTGTTCTCGATCTGCAGAGGACAGAAAAACCCTGCTGAGAGTCTGAGCAGGTGAAAAGCGGGGAAGGAGATGGGAGGTGTCGGGCTGTACCAGGTCCGCAATGATCTTCTGCAGGAACTTGGCACATTTCTCYACCTCGTTCTTCGGACCCCTCAGCTGGACGATGTCGCTCTTCTGCGACGGGTCTGGAAAATTAATGATGACCTAAAAGACAACGAGGATGAAGTTAAACGTCTAAATAAAAGTCTTCACAGCTCTGATAACGAGGTTTGAGACCAGTCTCACCTCAGGAAACTTGTCTCGAACTTCTTTGATCTTTTCCCCTTTCTGTCCGATGATTGTCCGGTGGAACTTCTGCTCCACAATCAGGTCTTTGGTCCGCTCGTTCTCCTGGAAAGAAAAATGTTCAGAGTTAAAAGAAATCCATTTAGTTTAGTTTAGTTTTARTAACCAACCATCCTCACCATTCTCTGGACCATCTCGATGAGCTCTCTTCTCGCCAGCTGGACTCCTTTAGGGTCTCCTTCGATACGAACCAGGTTGCTTCTCTCTGAGTCCTGCGGGATTCTCACCGACACTTTGTACTGCTCCTTGATCCTGTTGACTGCAGAACAGGAGAAGGATTAAAGACACACGCAAAAAGAAAAAAGGAAAACGAACACGATAGCTCTCTGTGTATCCGACACGCAACAACTTCTAAAGAAGAAACGTAAAACTGTGTTTCCACTGGAAGAATAAGTCACTTATTCAATAAAAAATATGACAAGTTTACAGTGGAAAGTGGAACAAGTTCTTTTGAGATTTATAGTCAGCTTTTAATATTAGCTGTTGAACTAATTCATGATTCGAGGACGACACGAATCCTCCTCAGACTGAGAACCTGACACAAAATATCTGCAGCAGGAAGGACGCTAAGGTTAAAAAAACATGGCAAGCTCCACTGGCACCTAAATTCTTAATAACCAAAAGGTTAGCAGATGGACACAGATCTACTCACTGTTGGCTCCGTTCTTTCCAATGAGGTGTCTGTGGAAGCGTGGATCTATGATGACTTCAGTGTAGTCCATCCTCACCAGCTGGACACACAAAGAGACAAAAGAGTGAAAAACCTGTTTCACATTTTGTAAAAAAAATTCCCACAAAAGCTGTGACTGTTTTATTTATTGTATCTTTATTGAAAAGGCTGAAGGGAGAACCACAAATCTGATTTTGGGTGAGAATCATCAACTGCCTTTAAATACAAAACTCTACCAAGATGCATCCTGTAAGCTTCATTTTCAATAATACAGATCCTTATATTAAAACCTTAAATGTAAACCTGAAAATATTATTCTCCATTAACACAATAGGATCTGAAATCAAATTTAAACAATGGGCCTCATGCAAGAACATTTCTTATCCTAAATTTCTCTTACTTTTGTTCGTTCGAAGGGTTCGTACAAACATGTCACGTCAGATTCAACAAACTCTTCTATCTTCAGGAAAAGKGTGTAAATGAGCTGAGTAAACATGATGAATGTGTATCCAGCTGCTTGTGCACGAGGAGAGATGATTAGCATAATTAACACCCTAAAAACACCATATAAGGCTAAGCTTCCTGTCCCACATACCAGGAAGTGTTCATTCATAAATGACATYGCAAAGTAAAAAAGAAGAACTTTACGAGTTCAGAGATTGAAGTCCTGCTTTCAGAGATCCAGAAAAAATAATCTGTAATTTTTAGCAGTGTCAGCTGTGGAATTAAAGGAGCTGCTAAAGAATGAAATGACGACTGCTGTTAATGTCRTGWCTCGTAAACAGTCACAGAAATAAAAATCTAAATCATATTCATCTCTCTCTAGTCCTGCTCAGGTTTTCCTTTGGTCAAATATTTTTAATTTAAGTGTAAATAACTGTGTTAAATAGTTTTCATTTCCATTTAATTCATTCAGTTTGATGGAAGGACAAGGATGTGTGTGTGTGTGTGTGTGTGTGTGTGTGTGTGTGTGTGTGTGTGTGTGTGTGTGTGTGTGTGTGTGTGTGTGTGTGTGT